TTTGGAGGTATTTTTGTTGGATAATGAATCAGCACCAAGCTCCTCCATGTTGGCATCTTCAATAGGATCAGAATTCTCCGTAATCGACTTCGTTTTGACTTTTTTCGTACTTCGCAATAGAGGGTCATCGTCGGATGATGCTTCCTTCTCCAAAACCCTAACAGAGCCGCTCACCATACTGTCAAATTGTAACTATTATATAAGACTTTAATGATACGTCGAGATTGGTAGTAGAGACTAATTTAGAGGATTATTTCATACACTCAATTTATAAGTAGCTTTATTTAATTGTAACTACTTAAATTAAACTCCATGAAAGAATTGTCCATTAAATAAGAAAAATAGTGTTAGGAGATTCGAACTCATATAAACAAAATTAAAGTTATATATAATATCTTATGATTAGAAACACATAATTTTTCCTCTTATTTAAGTAGCTAAGATTAAAAACAAATTAAAATACAACTTTTTTTTAATATAGTCAATCATCATTTAAATAAATTTTAATTTTGATTATTTCTACATGATTATGTGTGTTAATTTTATTTTTTTTTGGAAAGATAAAAAATATTACAAAGATGAACCTAGATCCACATATTTCTAACTACTACAATCCTTCTCACCCAATTAATAATTTACCCTAATAATTTTATGTGTGCTAAATTTAAAGTTTACTTTCTTAAACTAAAAATTTGAATAAATTGACTTTATTTTATATAAAGATGATATCCATTTTAATAACTAATTTTTTCCCACTTGCACATGACTTTTTTTTTTTTTTTTCTTTTTACTTTCTTATTTATTTTCTCTTTTTACTATACATTTATTTTATTTTTATTTGGAACAACTTATAACTATCACTCTTCCTTTTTATATTTTTATTTAACTTTTTCTCTTTATAATCACTCACTATATTATTTTTCTCTTTTTTATTTTATTTTATTTCATTATTTTTTTTAAAATAGAGAGATATGAAATGTTTTTTTTTCTTCTAGTACTAATGGATCTATTTATGTTAAACACGGACCTCTATCTTATACAAAAACATCTTGAAGAACTTTACTTTGACGAGAAATTTCTAAAGATTTTTTTTAACTTTTTATCTAATTCAATTTTATTTATTTATTATAATTATTTATAAATTAAATTTAATATTTTAAAATAAATTATCAATAAATAAAAATAATATTATATTATAATATAAATTACTTTCATAAATTTAAAATATAATTTATATATTTAAAAATATCTATTTATATAAATTTTAAATATAATTTATATAGTCAAACATAATACTTATTTGTATATATATATAATTTATTATAAATTTTAGTTATTTATAATAAACAGTTAGTCTATACATTACACATACTAAAATATTAGATGATATTATTTCTTTTAACTCAATATAAGAAAAATAGCTAATTTATATGCAAATTAAAAATTAGTAAATGTCATTTGCTAATCTGAATTAAAATATTTGTTTTCTATATTTTTTTATTATTAAAATTTGACATAAAATATTAAAAATAAAATTTCAAATAAGTAAAATATATTTTTGGTTTAGTATGACACACCAATGCCTTCAATGTTTACTATTTGTAGTGGTGGTAGTTTGGTGGTAGGCATATTCTTTGAATAATCTCCGACTTTAACATGAAAAATTATTTAAATATCCCTCAATTTAATCAATTAATTGTTAGGTATTTTAGCCGTGTTTGATGGGTTATATAACTCAAATATTAAAGCATACAACATCATCCATTACAAGAGGTTGTTCAGCACATCCCATAATTATTCTAATAACCGTCACTTACACGGCTAAATTTAATTTTTATGTGTTATAATTTTTAATGTATTTTTTTATTGATTTTATTTTATAAATATTTTAAAATTATACATACACTTATATTATATATAACATAAAAAATTGTATATTTATTAATATATTATATAATTTTAATTTACATAATTTTTATTTTAATATATATATATATATATATTTGATTAGATATTTTAATGATAAAAGATAATTTTAATTAAATTTTTAATTATATATTTTTCCTTTATGAATACATTTTCATCATTAAAAAAATAACTAAATAATTAAAAAATAAAACATGCATATATATTATTTAAATTATATTATCTAATATCAAAGAGTGTGAGATTTTCATTTATATTTTTAAATTATATATATATATATATTATGTATGTTATCATATATATTATTTTTTCCCCTAGCATCATTAATTAATAATGCATATAAGTATACAAGTTTGATGTTGATATTTCAAGTCTCACTCTCTTTACATATTTAGGGTATATCATGTAAAAATGATCTTTTATATGAGAATGATAAGCACAAACTTTAAACTAAAATAGATGACTTATTACATTAAAGAGAAAACTCATGTAAAATCATAATCACATTCACAACCACTATTATCATTGTATATTACCATATTGTCACCACTACGACCACTACTAACAATAGTAATGATGACGATAAAAATGACAATAATGATAATAATGATGAATATGATAATGACAATAATGATAATAACATAAATGATGGTGACATTAATGATAATGATACTAATAAAAAAATAACACTAATAGTAACAATTATGATTGTGATTTTAAGTAAATCTTTTAATTTAAAATTGTCTATCTTTGTCTAAGAGATGATTTTCATTCTCACATAATTAAGGTCATTCTTATATAATACACCTTAAAAAAATTTCAAATTCAATTTTATTTAGATCAAAATAATGATGATAGTGTAGATAAGTGAAATTTTCTAAATTCTAATAGTAGATGTTTTTTTTTTTTTTAATTTCAAAGAGGTGCATTTTCATAATACGGATATTCATTACCGTTGATTTTAGTTTTATTAAATTGATAAATAATGTAGCACTTTATAAAAAAAAATAATTATTATAAGGGTAAAAGTATCTTTATCTTTATATATATATATATATATATATATATATATATAACTTCTATCCATATAAAGATACATTTTTTACTGTATTTTTTTCCCCTCACATTCCTTTCATCTCTATTTCTTTTATAAGCCAAACAAAGTGTAAATCACCCATTTATTATGCTTGATTTTTCGAGTTATGATTATGTAACAGAGTTAAATCAATATTTGTCTTAAAAAAAAACAAAATATCTCTGTCCCATGAGTATGTACTTAACTAGTTCAAAGTTAAGTATGCACAAATATTTTTAGTTTCGAACTTTATTGCTATTGTTGTTATTCTTATTGATAAATAAAAAATAAAATTAGTTCAGAGTTTGTTTTATGATAAGTTCTTGGCTCAGTTGGCTGAAGACTAACATTGCCTTATTCAAATTAATTGGGAAAATTTTGTATATTTGTGCTTGTTTGTAATAACCGACCTGAGTCTACGACTTTTCCTCAAAAAGCCACTGTTTGTAATAACTGATCTTGTGTTAATCTCCCTCCTTCCTGATTGACAATACCATGTTTGTTTTACTCACTAGATCATAATCCTGGTTCCTGACGCTTATGTTAGAGTGGTATGTATGATTTTTTAACAGTTGTATTTAATGCTAATAGCTATTTTTGGTTTTAATAATGAAGTCAATTTTTTTATTTCATGTTGTATGTTGATATGGAGGTTAAAATGGTGTCCTACCGAAGGTAAGTGGTTTATCACAGTAAGTGCATTCTTCTTCAAGTAAAGTTATTATTAAACAGATTAAAGGCATTGTATTTCTTTTAGCTCCCCTTCTTTCAATTATTACTGGTTATGAATTGGAACATATATATATGCACTAATTGGATTCTCACTTTGTTACAGGCTTGATAGAGTCCAGTCTACTCATTATATCAAAAAGCTGCGTTGGCCTTTGTGGGCATCTGAAAATTGAGGCTAGCTATCCCACCCTTTGAGGTGCCTCCAACGTAGCGAGGAGATTAGTCACTGCTGTCGGCGGTAGATACTCCACGGACAAAAAAAAAAAATGAATGATTAAATTCAGGATAAAACTTAAATGTTGTAATATAAGTGTGTTTTTCTCTTATTAAAACTGGAGTTATATTTCAATAATATACATTCATATATAATGAAATCCTTTATTATACATTTTATATTTGTATAACTCTCTCTTATTTAAAAATAAAGTGATACTTCAATCATGACCTCATGTATAAGTGAAAATCAAACGATAATCTTTAATTAAAGTATACAAATACTTGACCACTTACACTAATGGAATTCAATCATGTCGAAATGAAACTCAAATTTTAATAATAAAAAAAAAACCTGTAATACCATATCTAAGTTGTCCTTAAATTTATTGGATACCTCATTTGCTTGGCTATGAATTGACTCTGCTTGTAGATTTCTAGATAGATATGCAATCAAGTAAATTCATCTTAATTGCTCATTTATAAATGTCATGCTCTTTATGTAAATTATACATAAGCCAGGTAGTTCAGAAAAAGAATAAAAACAAAGAGTACCGGCATAAAAGAAATGTCAACCACGGCTCCAGTAAAGATTAACTAGTTATTGCATTAGTCTTCTAAAGATTTTTCACCAAACTAGTCTTTTAAGGATTTAAAGATTAACTAGTTAGGATTTGATTGGATAAACTTCTACAAAAGTACTGAAAAAAAAAGAGAAAAGTGAAATAAATTTTTCTACAGGTTAAAATTAACTTATGTATAAACTAATTTATAAAAATTCTCTCATAACTTCTCTTAAAAATTACAAATTAGCTTATTAATAAATTAGTTTTGACTTATAGAAAAACTTATTCTATTTTTTCTTAATATTTTTTTCCTAAAAGTGTTTCTGAAAACACTTATCCACACAAGCATGTTCTAAAGTGACTGCCATATACTCAAATCAATTTTATTGTTTGTTTTTGAGCAAAGTTAAGCATGTAAATAAATAAATAAAAACCTGAACCGCCATTTGGAGACGGTAATAATATATTAACCCTGGAGACCAAAAACATAGAAGAGTACTAATAATTGATCGTCTATTGATCCTTGATGATGAAGGGGGCACATTCAGAGACAAAATTTTACCTTTTTTTTTAACAATCAACAACATTTATAAATAACTCTAATCTATACTAATGTATTGATGTCACGGGCAAAACTTAACTTTCACAGCGTTGCTCTTACACTCACAACTTTGATTCAAACTTAACAAATGGCTGAATTGAATGAAACGAAGCAACTTCCTCACAATACTTCATTCTCATCAGACTTGATCAGATAAAAATTATAGAGAAACCTATAGGAACAGAAAAATGTTCCTGCATTTTCATGATTAGGAGAAGATCAAAACCTTTCTGCCAATCTGGCAGTAACTGCTCTTAGTTTTGAATATACCTTTCCTGCTGGTGATCCCAGGATCAGGCTACAAAGAGAATCCCTGGCAATCTTTATGTTAGCAAAAGAACCCAATATGTGAATTTTGGTGTCAGCAATCACAATTCTTGTCTTTGACGCATTCTCAATAGCAAACTTTGTTTTACCACCTTTACCAGATAACCTTCCAATAGCACGAGACAAGTGATCACCTCGAAGTGTTTTAACATCCTTGATCTCAAAGGACTCGATGTAAAGCTCATCCAAACGCAGAAGAGCAATGGCATCAATGACATCAAAACCCAGCATGAAAGCATGGACAAAATCAGCACATTTCTGCAGGTTACTGATATCAGGTGTATCATGTCTTGTCTTCAGCTCAACCCTACGAGCCTTCAAATTCATGCGGACATCGATTTTCATCTGTTCATATATTGGAGTATAGATATCCATCCAAGCTTTCTTAAGAGGGGTATATCGATGAGGTGGAACATTCACCTTGCGGAACTGAATCTGACCATCAGACATTTCATGAGGCTTCAAAGGCTCAAACTTCGGCTTTGGTGGCAAAGGTTTGGCCTCAGATGGGACAGTCTCAACTTCCATGGTAGAAGATGCCTGATTTGACTCCATTCTACAACTGTTCCAAAAGCCTCCAAAAATAAGTTGATTTAAAATATACAAAAGTAAACACGTTAGTTGAATGTAAAGAAGCCAAATCTATTTTCTGCAATTCTAGATATGAGCGACATAATTATCAATCACAAATTGCGGCACAGGGTGGCTGGTCCCAGAAACACTACAGGGGAATAGCATAACAGCTGCCAATCAGAGGATTATAAACCCAACATAAACATTGCCTTGTCAGTAGACTCAACCTTGTGAACATAGACAAGTCAAGTAGAGGCTAGCTGTTCAGTCTGTCTCGGACTTTCAGTTTCAATTTTTTTTTCACAGAAACAGAGTAGGATTGCTGAAGCCCTAAACTTTATGTTTCAAATGAAGACTGAAATCCCCCCAAAAAAAAAAAAATAGGTTCAGCCTCACAACAAAAACAGTGGTAAAAGGGGGAATTTTCCCTCTGTTAGTCATAGCAGCTGAAATAGCCTCAATTTTCTGGAATAGCAGCCACTATTCACAGCCATGAACTCTGCTACATTTAAATGTTCCTAGCAGGTTTGAGATAGCAGCCAGAGTAGTTCAGAATGGAACCTAAGTCCAGAGTCTCCAGACTGTGCAAGAATGTTGAATTGAGAAGGCGATCCAAACCTCCTTAACTGATTGGATTATTCTCTGTTAAGGCCATTCTAATTACTAAAGTACATTTACACACTTATCAAGTACTTAAAAAAAGGAGCCACACATAAAACAGAATAATTTTACTCCCTTTTCAAATCCTGTACAATTTCTGGTGAGAAAACATAGAGTAAGAGAAACCTATTATCCACTTCCACTCATAAAAATGTTACACGGAATTAATTCAGAAAACCCAAATTTATAATACGCTCTAAAAGCAGCAAAAGCATGGATTTTTGCGAGGTTTAAGCAAAATTGTGTGAATAAATAGGGATTTAGAAAAATTTGAATGGAAGCATATATACTACTTATGAAAACACCTTTGATTAGTTGTTGTTTTCCCTTTTCTCAACCAAAACAGCGACAATCTAGTTGTTATGAATTGAATTAGGTCAATAAATTTTAACACTAGGATTTATAAGTGGGCGAGTAATGAGCATGAAAAAGAACAGAACTACACGGAGGTAAAGAGGGCAAGTAGACGAAGAACCTGATGGTGGTCGAAGCGGCGGCGGTTGCGGCGAGGAGCGGTGGTCGAAGTGGGAGATACGGTTTGCGCAGTTTCCGGCTTCGACTCTCACTCAGGGTTGTGGGCAGTGTAGTTAGGGTTTTAAAGGGACAACCCTTTGTATTTTTAAACTTGTTGGAGGCTATTATTGTCCTTTACATTTTCTAGTTATTATTAGAATTAACATTATTTTTTGCTCAAGTATGTAATTGTTCATTTATTTTTAATCATTTTTTTATCATGCTATTGGGAATTTCATACATTATTTTTTCTTAAAATATTAATTATATTAAGATTATCTCTTCTAGTTTTTTTTTTCTAATTTTTTTTAAGTTTAAGGATGAAGCAACAACCAACAAACTTAATATTAAAAGTAATAAGTGTAGAATTGAATTGAATAATGATTTCTCTAATTAAACTCAACATTTAAAAAGTAAAGAATTGAATTGAATAATGATTTCTCTAATGTTTTTTTAGATAAATTTGAATTTTTTTACCAGTCTAGTATTTTCTCTTATTAGATAATAACTTTTTTATTTTGTGATTTTTTTTTCATTCCAAATACTTAATTTATTATTTTTCATGATAAATAAAAATACTCATTTGAACATAAAAAAATTAATTTTTAATTATTATTCAATATGATCCTTTTATTTTTTTAGGACTTAATTTGATCCTTCTACTTTTAACAATTTAATTTAGTCTCCCATTTTTTATAAAAAATATTTAATATTATTCTTCTATTCGATTTCATTAATTATGTTAGTATCAATTTGAATAAAATGATAATGCTAAATATTTTTTTAAAAAGGATCTTGTTAACTAGTGTCTTTATGGCACTTGTTAATGAATTGACAAGTAAAAAATTTTATTAAAAATTAAATTAAAGATATACCAGTATATATATAAATACATTTTTAATAAAGACTTTTCACTTTTATTCTTTAATCAGTGACTTATGGCACTAGTTAGCATTTTTCTTTAAAAAATTAGATGATTAAATTAAACTATTTTAAAATAATGAAACTAAATTGAATTTTAAAAATAAAAAGAAGAGCTAAAAATATTATTTATAAAAAACATGTTCAATGTTATTTTCTTTCTTTTTTATTTCTCATCAAATATATTCACCACTTATGGTAAGATTCGTATGGAAGGCACAATGTAGTTTATAACTAAAAATTTGATGTATCTTCATGTGAAAGAAATGTTAGTAACACTTTCTAAGTTTCTATAACATTTATTTTATTATTAATTAAAGCTTATCGGATATTGCAAATTTTGCAAATTGCATATCTTATTTAATAAGTCTATCTCTTGATGCGGTAATTCCCATCAAAATTAGTGATTTTCACCCAATTATACATATAGTATTAATAAGAGAATATTGAAAAATGTGGTAGTAACATTTCTACTTTTGGTTATGCTGCACTACCAGAGGACTCTTGACTTTGTGTTTTCCATCTGACCACAACAACTCCCCAAACACATAACCTGATGCATGCTTACTTACTTCTATGCCCTTCAAAATGACTTTGAATCTCTTCTTCTCACCAAGTTCACTAAATGTCAAGGATCTTGGCTCAACCAAAACTGAAACCCCACTAGGTGCCTTGACATGCACCTCATATGTACCTGGTGACCCCACATTTGTAACTGTATGAGTAACTTCTGTAGAGTGTTTCCCAGGACCTGGCACCGTGATTGAAGGGTAGTTAAGATCATATATGTTGTAAGACTTTGGACAAATGTGGGGATCTCTTGAAAACATCTTAATCTGTGTCAGGTTGTAACCATGAGCACATAGCTAGGAAGTTCAAGTAATCAGAAGTGTTTAGATCATATACAAGTCCAGGGTCCATTGCAAGTTCTGGCTGAATGTGCCCCGCCCCATAAGCAAATGGTGTTGCTTCTTCTCTAGATTGATCCAAAATTGGTCTTTTGTTGTTGTTAACTAGTGTCATTGCTGAAATTGCATAATTTTTGGTTTGTTAGAAAAACTGAAGTAGGATATTGGTTTCTTTTAGACAAAGCTCATGTAGACTGATATAGTTAGTTAGGTATTTTTGGTAATGTTCTCGTGTCAGATATAGAGTTTCACCTCACTAATTTACATAATGAAGGTTGATATTAAAGGGATAAATTATTGAGGTAAAACTTTAATTTTGATCGAAGAACAACACTAAAACAATAAAAGTACCAGCAAGTTAGTTCTTTCTTTTACACGAGGTTCTTTTTCTCTCTTGTATACTTGTTAAGTGTGAACCAACTACCAAGTGTAAATTATTAGTTGATATTATGTATCAATCATTTATTAACTGATACACATTATTAACTAAGAATTTACGTGTCATTAACAAGGGTATGGAGGGAATGCTCTCAGGTATAGGAGAACACTATACAAAAATGCAGCACATTGTGTGAGAAGATCTTAGTGATATGGGTGAACTCTATTAAGACTTGTATGCACAACAATGGGATAGAGTCTATTAATGGGATCTTAGTGATGTATGTGAACTATATACCAGTTGTCATGATAGCAGATTTTAATGCTGCAGGGCTCCAATTGGGATAGAGTCTTTTGAGAAGGCCAATGATGCCAGAAACATGAGGGCAAGATTCAGATGTTCCTGACCCTATATTATATGGAACTCGGCGAGTATCTGACGAAAAACCAGTTGGACTAAAGGCTTCTGACCCTGCAGAAAGAATGTCCACACCTGGTGCAGTGATGTCTGGCTGAAAATGAAAATAGAAACTGTTAATTGGAAAGTTATCTTTGGATTTGAAGGGAACAAATTGAGGAGTGACTGAATGTACTAATGGAAAAGTTGTTGATGAAACAAAGGGTGAACCTTGAGGATTGTTGGCTGGATGGGGTTAGGTCCCCTAGAGGAAAATGAAGCAATCACTGGAGCTGGTTTTATTCCTAGTAGAGTTTTTGCTCTGGTCATGTAAGCCATGGGGCTCCTACAATATAATAATATAGATTAAATAAGGGTTTATTTGGGTAAACTTCTCCAAAGACAATTATTAGAGAGAAAAATAGGAAGGGAAAATGAAATAAAACTTTCTACATGTTAAAATTAGTTTATACATAAATTAATTTATAAAAGTTTTCTTTTATTAACTTCTTCAAAATTTAATTTTTAACTAATGCATAAATTAGTTTTAGTTTATGGAGAAGTTTATTTCAATTTTCCTTATTTTTTTTTCCTAGAAGTACATATGGAGAAATATATTAAATACGCCCTAATTTGTTGCTAGAACCTAGAAGCAAATTTCACCTAAAAAGATAATTTTTTTTTGGCATTTTTGAATCCAAAAAGATTGATGGTAGGAGAGATAAATTACTTGGTGTGTTCTACGTAGGAATAAACATGTTGACCATCTGTGTAATTGATGTGTGAAGTAGGCATTAAATGAGGAAATGGTACAATGTCATTGCCACGTTGCTTATTATTTGCAAGAATTAGTCCTACTGTGCCTGTAGAAAGAGCTTCCTCCTCTGCATAAGATAATCCATCAAGCTCCTTTAGGAGGCAAACCAGGATTTTCCCCTTTGCCTTTTCAGGATCGAGAGTTCCAACCCTACAGAGTTGACTGCAAGAAACCATGAAAACTGTTATTCCAAGAAGCAACATACAAACTAGACTAATTGATATGCCTCTTGGAACTCACGCCTCTTCAATTGTTGCATTAGCAGCTTTAGCATCTATGGAACTGATCAAAGAATAGAACTTCTCAAATGGCAAGCCTGAAGAAAGACTGGCTCCCTGGCAATCCAAATTGAAATATGTAAATAAATATATAAAAAAAGAGAATTCTATAATGTTTATTTTAGAGTTTAATGATGATGCATAGACAGTGTAAAACAGTTTTAAACAATCACCCAATCACAATCAATTATAAATGATAAATTTATTGACTTTTATAATATCTATCTTAAAAGTCATATAAATCATAATTTATGATTGGTTGATTGTGTAAATTTTTTTATATTGATGTAATTTAAAACACACCTAAATTATTATACATGACTATGAACCTAAGTTGAAATGAAAGAAAAAGGGTAAAATGTATTTTAGGTCCCTTAAGATTTGGTCAGAAATAATTTTAGTCCTTACATTTTAAAAATGGTGGTTGTGGTCCTCATATTCATGAAATATGGTAGATTTTGTTCTTGACCCTTTGCTTCACTAGAGACAAAATGCTACATTTTAGAAATACAAGGAGTAAAAAACTATCGTTCTTAAAATGTTTAGGGTTTAGGGTTTAGGGTTTTGGCTATGGCAATGGCACTGCCAAGGGTGGCTCCCCCAGAGCCTATGTTGCAGCCTACAAGGTGTGTTGGCTTGGGACAATGAAGATTGAATGCACTGATGCAATATCATGGAAGCTTTTGAGGCTGCTATAAGTGATGGGGTTGATGTGATTTCTTGTTCCCTGGGGCATTCTACTGCAACAGAATTTTTTGAAGATGGGATTTCCATAGGGGCTTTCCATGCAATTGCCAATGGTATAGTAGTAACTGCTGGTGGAGGCAATGCAGGACCAGAACCTGGAACTGTAACTAATGTGGCACCATGGATTTTTAGTGTTGGTGCTAGCACAATAGACAGAGACTTTGCTAATTATATTGCACTTGGTACCAAGAAGCACATAATGGTATATTGGTATCGTTTTCTTTTTGGTAAAAAGTCTTTCAAGTCCCTCTAGTTTTGTCAAAATTGGTTTTAGTCCGTACATTTTAAGAGTTTAGGGTTTAGGGTTTAGGGTTTAGGGTTTAATATGACATTTGCTCCTTGAACAAAGTTACCTCCAGCAATTGACAAAGTTGACGTACCATGGTTTAATATGTCTCGTGCTGTGTAAAGGGATGTGTCAAGTTTTCCAAATTTTGACTCATAACCATTGCTGAAAAATCTCGCTCCTATTAATTTCCCGCACACTTTTTTTATTAATAGAAAAAATTATAATGACAGTGACAAAGTTTGAACTCAAGACTATATAATACTATTTCAATCCCTATCAATAGACCAACCCTAGAAGTTATAATTTCGTACACAACAATGACAACATAAAGGAATGAGAAATTTTCTTT